GTGATGATATCATAAGAGAATAGACAGAGCCTTCTTATGTCAGAAGAGACACCTTCTGACATAACAAACATGTTATAAAACCAAGGAAAAAACGTCTTTACTGAATGGCATGTAATACACAACTCAATAAAAAATCAATTTAAACCATATAAAGGTACTTGCATCAGCCAACTTTGCCGCTATCGATCATCGTTTTGCGTACTCGATTGTTTTTCAGAGAAATCGCACAATTGTAAGACATTTTCTGCCAGATAGAAATCTTTGTAAAAATAACTAAAAGATGTTATTGTGAGATAGAACACAATGAAACAGCTATATCTTGATTTACTTAGATATATCATGATGGTTATATTTGCGAACTAGGAGGCTTCAATAATAATGCTCCTCGGTACAAACTATAAAAGATAATGGATTCACTTGAGCTTTATTATATAGAGAACGCTCCAGTCTATTTACTGACATAAAAAAATCGTTAGGTTCTTATTTAAATTTTTAGAGGTATCAGTCAATCTTTCAGAGATTCATTAAAAAGTAGATCTTGAAAAATTCGTCGAATGTTTTGTCTAGTATAAAAAAGATGCGCTATCGTCGTGGCTATCTACCGATGAAAACCGCAGATCTCTATCTCGTTTTGTTCTCGAGATATTCAAAAAATAGTCACACGCACGGAATTTTTGGACAGACTATACATCGTCTATCAGATTCTAATCATACAGGAATTGCGCTAACAGCTTTTTGAAAAATTCCTATGAATAGAGTCTAACAGCTAGTATGATTGAGATGCGACCGTCTCTGGAAGGTAAATGAGTATATCTAAAATAAACCTACCCTATTTAGAAAATTGTCATTATTCGAAGATTTGATACATCGAGAATCAATTGTTTTTTTTCTAGCACGGCTACTGTTATCAAATAAAGCTCAATCTCTATGAATCATTTTAGAGAATATCAATTTTTATCTCTCAAAAAAATTCACTAAAGAAAGTTTGACAATGTTGTCAATCGACAATCGTTAATAAAATATTTATTTCAGTTTATTGAAGATCCATTAGGTGAATGTAAATATATATATCTACAGTGATTAGTTACAAATAGAAATCCAATTTGACAATGGATCAAATCAAGGCTCGTCTCAATGCGGCAAACGAGCAAGACGAAAACATCCGAATTACTTATACCATTGGCTCAAGTGTGGAATTTCTCGATGTTCTAGTGGAGAATAATCAAGGACAATTAAAAACTTCAGTATATCATAAACCAGCGGCAGAACCTTATATTCTACCTTATTTATCAGATCATCCACGTCACATTCATCGCAGTACAGTCAAATCACAATTACTTCGAGCAGCCCGTCTGTGTTCCCATGTAGAAGATTTCGATAGAGAACGATTAAATATTGAATTCATTTTACTGTTGAATGGCTATCCTCCAAAATTTACTGCTTATCATTTGAAACAATTTTTCCGCAAAAATAATGCTTTGTCCATGATGGAACAACTGGATGAAGTTGCCTACGAAGAGTTACATCGCAAGCTGTTATATCAACCAACACGTCGAGAAAGACAAGAGCAACAACAACAAGAGATAATCAGAACCGATGATAATTCACACGAAAACTCCAATAATAATGATATATTTATTCATTTTACTTTCGAAACTGGTCCAATGTTAAAGTTTAAGGGAGAGTTGAAGAATCTATGGAAAAAACATTATATTGATAATTGTCCTATCAAGCACAATATTCGATTGAGAGTTGCCACTAGAAGTAATAAGAATTTAAATCAATTATTCGTAAAGAAAAAGCCACCAAAAGCAATGTTAATAGATGTAGTTTAGAAACATGCAACAACTACAACAAGAACAATAAAAACCAATAATGAAGAGTAGAGTAACTGCTCTCCTACTTATGTACTTAGAACAATATCTTTGTATTTATAAATGAAGACTTTTGTTTTGTATATTGCATTGCTATTCTATTGTAGAATTCATGTTTTTCTTTCAATACTTTGATGATTACTTTCAATGATGAATTTCTTCATTTTCAAAAAAATGATTACTTCTTTCTTGTTCTAGATCTATATGATTCTACTAAACTTAACCTCCTGTTCACACTCTCAAAAGAAGTATACAAATCACCCAACAATCCAATGTGTGTATTGTTTATTTCAGTAATAATAACTTATCCTGGCTCTCAAAGTTTCTTATACTATATCTGAACATTTTTTAGAATGAGTACCCAATCTAGTCAAATAGGTACTGCGCCTATCAAATCCATCACTATGGAAACGAATAGTGAAAGTGATCTCAATCAAATACTCACTGCCGAATTAGTGATTCTAAGTCAATCATCAATACAATTAAATATGCCCAACATGATTCCTAGTCAAGTACCCAACATTCCTAATCCAACGACAACACATCAGAATCTGACAGAAGATGAATTTCGAGCTCGAAGACGGGAAGCTCGACGACGACATCAAGCTAGAGCATCTCAACAACAACGAAGAAATCAACAGCGACAAGAGCGACATTCAGAAAGAAGAAGGGAAAGACATCAACGGTGGCAAAAGCGGCTTGCTGAAAGAAGACAACAAGAATATGACTACTCACCCCGCTACGAATATCGAAGCCAATGGGAGCGACGAAGAGAGTATGATTTGTGGAGCATGGACTCCTCGGATGACTTTATGGATGAAATCTTTATCGAACCACTGTTAGAACAATACGATTTAGAAACAGGAGATCCAACTTATTACCGTGACCAACAACACATAAGAATATTGGAAGGCATGGCAGCTCTCGAACAAATGATGCTAATGCAAGATGAAATGGAGCAATCACAACAAATCAGAGCAGTTGCAGATTGTGATCAAGAAAAACTAAATGACATCAATAAAAGAAAAAACTGGGAACAAAAGCAACTGAACGATTTCGAGGGAAACCCATTGACGGAAACGGATGAAATCGAACAATTACTACAAATCGACACCGTTGCAGAAATACAACAGGAAATACGCATGCATATGAACTTAAACAATCAATGGGATCAAGAACGATTGTACCAATACGAAACACTTCCGACACCACTGCCATACGATACTGAATAGTGGATGGTTTTTCGCCCTCAATGAAGCCGGAAGATGGAAAGTAAATAAGCAGCCGACGAAGCAAACTGAAGAACTCATGTACACTACGCAATGCAGTTCTACTATGTATATACACATTCTTCCAACGAACTATAGCAGACTAGATTACATTTGTAAAATATTTCTAAGAAAAATTTTCAGATTTTTTTTCTCCCGGAAAGAAGAAACAAACTTGAAAAACACTTTCACTTCTCTTCTTCATATTACAATAGACTTCCAACATTTTCTTCTATTTCAGATAACATTTAAATCAATTAAACCGTATTCATCCAACAACATCAAGCATGGCAACACAAAGAAGATATCAACAAACTATTCCTCCCAAAAAACTTCAAGACCACAACGTTTCAACCAAAGTCCCCACAAATTGATCTATATTATCCGTAAGTTACACCATTTAGAGACAAGTCAAAAAGTAACAAAAGATTCAGTTATCAGACTTCTTTCGACTACACTATCGCGCAAACACGTATTTCAAACTCGAATAAAATACATAGTAAAGGATTTGAACAATCTCCATTTATCAAAATTCCCCCCACATGGCTCAAAATAATACTTACCTGTCTAACAAATATTCAACTCAACATTGGAATATCATACATGTTTTTCCCACAATCACCACATCGGGAACAACTTGAGCCAAACCACGAAACACTACAAAAAGTTTCACAAACCCTCCAAATATAAATCAGTCAACCACGATACAAAACGCGAATTGTAAACACTAACCAGTTTATACGGACCATCAGGCCAAAGCACAAAAAAAACCAACAACAAAGATCACACCCACAATGCGCGGCAAAACACTCATTGAACACGAGAACCTTTCCAAACTACCGATTCATCGACACAATAACTATATCCGAAGTGTCTTCCATTGATCTTCAAAACTACCCACATGCATAAACACAGCATTTCAAATACCAAACATACCCCCCCCCCCCCCGCCAAACTCCATTTCGAATACAACTCATACAAAGTATCCAGGTTAAACCAAAAGTCATATAGTGTCAATCATGTGAAAATCACTGCCATATTCTACTTTTCCATATTCCATAACTATGACAATATTTTCCGCATTTCCCATTCAATTTTTTACCTTTGAAAATTTATGCAGTGCTAAAAACTACTTGATGATTCCGACCCTTGAGAAAGGTCGAAACTATAGTAGTAATTATTCTTTTAATTCTAATACACACCGTATTGTGAATTTAAAGATTTCTCTGCTTCTGCATTTTCATTCAAAAAATAATTAAATATGGGAAGATCTTTGAATCTTTTCAATTTAATAGTTTTTGACCTTTGAAAATTTATGCAGTGCTAAAAACCACCTGATGATTCCAACCCTTGAGAAAGGTCAAAACTATAGTAGTAGTTATTCTTCAAATTCTAATACACACCCACACCTACACCCACACCCACACCCTGATGATTTATATTACAACAACTGAAGCAAAAATGAATGAATATGAAAAGAGATTCGATACAGACTTGGCTAAAATGAAAGAAAATCAATGTTCTGGTCCACCACATAAAAAATTAACTCAAACAATGTTGAATATTATGGAACGACGGTTTAAGAATATTAATGAACGTCTTATATATCTTTACAAATTAGAATTACGTTTTTTCGTCAAAGCTCCGACGGTCACGAAATAGATTGGATCGACCGTCGAAGCATTCCTATCCTAAGATCAATGTCACTTGTTCACCGTCAATAATTCAAGACACATCACATCATCTATCACAGGAACAAATAAAATTTCTCAATCGTGGACCAGCCTATGTTTCACCATGTCAAATACATAGTTTATCGAAATCTCCTTTAATACTGGCTCAAATCGTTACGAAACAAATGGCACCACTTCAACGAAAACTCACAAAACTTTTCACCAAATATCCAATCGATCACTCTCGTCAAATGCATTTTGAAAACGGTATTGAACAATTATTCAATGAATCACTTCTTCAACCTATGCCTTCTGTACTTGAAGAACGTGCACTCTATGAAAAACAGCTCATTCTATCAATTCGATATCAATTGAAAAAAGATCAATTGATTCCACGACGAACTGCTGATGAGATGAACACATATTATCTTGGTCAATTGAATGAATTTAATCAAAAATCAAATGAATATATTCAGAATTCAACTTGTTACGAACTGATTGAAACAATTAATGAAATTAATACAGAACAACAACAATTAGAAGAAATTATTCAATCTATTGATTTACAGTTAAAAATATTATATCAAAGAAATTTGATTACAGAAGATCATTTAAACAGATTAAGTATTGGTAAAAAAACAAATATCAATCTTCCATATCTTTATTTCTTACCAGAAACGAATGAAAATGTTCATATGTCAGTACAACCACGACTATCGTCATGTCATCATTGTCCAATATATATTCTAGCTACTTATCTTAATCAACTTCTTCGACCATTATTTGATAATTTTTCACGATCAACAACATTTCTTAATGGTGGTGATTTTATACAAAAACTACAATATCATTGTGTAGAACTAGGTCTTCTTATACCGGAAATATATTTTGCAACATTTAAAATTCATGTTTTATATACGAAGATATCACATTCGTCTCTTCTTGAAGCATTAAATATATTTCTAGTGAATCCACTTGTCAAAGGTCGACATCAAAAATTATCAAGTGATGCTATTCAACAATTAACTGCAATAGTCTTACGAAATAATATTTTCTCTTACAATGTAGAAATCTATCGATTTATTAAAGGAGGCCCATTAAATTTACCATTAATAGAATTATTATGTCATATTTATATACATCATTGGCAATATTCATTAGCTACACATATCTGTTTGCAAGATGCATTCTATGATCGATATAAAGATACAGGTTTTTTAACATGGAATGGCCCGATTCATCACTTGCAAACATTATTCAATGAACTTGAACGAGAACTAGATTCGAATCTTCAAATGATAACATTTATTAGTAGTGATGTTCATTTTCTTCATGCTGCTATTGAAAATCAAAAAGGATCTTTACGTACTCATGCGTATCATGATTTAACAATTCAACCATTTTTATTACCTTATGAGCATAGTCATCCACGATTATTTCATCGACAATGGTTTCGAGCTGCTCTTATACGTACTGATCAATATTGTAGTTCGTTCGAAGATTTTGAAGATGAACGACTTTATATTGAACTAACATTTCTGGCTAATGGATATTCATTAGATTTTATCAAGTATCATATCAAACGATTCTTGACAAGATTTAATCCAAATGAACAAAAACCAATGAATCTCAACCGATATACATATCTTTCATTCCGTAATGAATTATTTCGTTGTATCGATCAACAAAAACGTGATCTATTAGAAGAACAACAACTACAAAAGAATCATCAATTAATTCAATTATATTATCTTTTCGATTGGGGTTCAAGATGTCAATTCAATCAAAAGTTTTATCAATATTGGTCTACAATTATCGAGCAAGATCCAGAGTTAAAAAAATATAGATTGAAAATCAAACTTAATACTAAACATTGCTATTCATCGAATACTCTCTTGGCTCGATCTAATACTACATATCTATGAAGTGAGAGTAGTCCATTTTAAATATTTATTTCTGTATATTTCTATACATTTAGATATTTCCAATGCTTGATTTTTAACCATTTATTACAATTTATATATGTCATTTTATTCTTCTTTTTTTTGCATGTGTCTTATTGTTATGTTCTTAGTATAGTTAAACTTTTTTGTCAATAATATATTACTATACAATTTTAATACATTCTCAAAAGTGTTATCTACAACTCTTTATATTGCTTGTCTTTGTTTTTCTTTTTGTCTTTTCTTTTAGATCTATTCAAATAACATAACGATGCAACAATATTCTCATTTGTTTCTACTTTTATCGATTCTTTATTTATTTCTCGTTATTTGTTATGCTCATGGATGTAGTGAATCTAAAGAGAATCGAGAAGAAGAAAAAGAACAACAACAACAACAACAACAACAACTAGAAGAGCAGAAACACTATAAGATAATGAAATCAATGCCTTCCAATCGATCCTCAAGACCGGTATCACTCACAAGTATGCGACGAAGTCAGAAAAATTGAAGTAAATTATGCTTTTTATGTGCAGCAACTGAGGGTTTGAATCTTTGCTAAACTACCATTGAACTCTCTCAAAATTGTAGGTTAGCATCAAAATTGCAGCATATTAAAAATTTAATAGCCGAACTTACCTGATGATGACCCTTCAGCAAGGTCAAAATCGGTCGTAAGTATAGCTTGTGCTATTAAATGAAAAAATCAATTTTATACACACCCACACCCACACCCTTGAATTGATTAAGAAATTAAATGAATGGTCAAGATTTAATATAAATGAAAATACTATATTTTGTACCATTGCTGTACTTGATTTATATACAATGATTCCACAAGTAGAAGGAGTGCTGTCGTTGAAGAAAATGTTGGATTATTTAAAATTGAAAAAAGTTGGTGGTTTAAGAGTCGAAACTATTATTGGATTAAGTCGATTTGTTATGCAAAATAATTATTTTTCTTATGATGGTCTATTCTATCATCAAGTTCGTGGAGGAGCAATGGGTTCTCCTCTTACACTAACTGTTGCTAATTGTTATATGTTTTTTTATGAAAGGCAAATAATTAAACAAATTAATAATAGCGGTGGACTCTACTTTCGGTATATTGATGATTTATTTATTGTGATTAACTGGCCTGCCAGACATTTATTAAAACAAATCGACAAATGGAAGAATTTGGATGAAAATATTAAGTCAAACCCAAATATTGGCTCGTTTGCGACTTTCCTTGATTTATATATGGAAAATAAAGATGGTCAGTTATTTACGACAGTTTTTCAAAAACCTTCTTATGAACCATATTACTTGCCGTTCAACAGTGTACATCCACTACATATGAAGAAGAATATAATTTTTACTATGTTTCTTCATATTATTAGATACTGTTCAACTTTTCAAACTTATTTGAATGAACGTGAAAAATTACGAATGGCATTATTATTAAATAAATATTCAAATAGAATTATTGATGAACAATTTAATCATGTATTATTAAAATTTAATATTGATCAACCATTAGATTTTAATAATTATAATTTAATTCGTCAAAAAGTTATAGAAACACCTATAAAAGATAAAATACCAGTGGATTATGGTCAGATAATGTTTGTTCATTTTACTTATTGTTTAAGTATGAAAACATTTCCAACAAAATTCCATGGCCTCTGGGATAAATATTTCGGTGAATCTCCGATTAATGAAATTGCACCTGTTCTTGGCACACGTAATGTTAAAAATTTACAAAGACATTTAATTAATACATGATAGACTAAATGACCAATTTTCGAAGAAAATATATTATATGTTTGGCATAAATTTATTAATTTATATCCTGATATAGAATAAGTTTATCGATTTGATATATGTGTCTTTGTATATTTTGATTTGATGATTTGATATATTTGTTTACTAATATTATATGTTTTGAATTGGTACACGTGTTTTATGTTATGTCTGTTTATCAATAATTATATATATTAAGTCCCCTATTAATGAACCGGGTATATATGACTTATATTTATTATTTTTTTTGTTTGGTTTGGTTATCAACTAATTTCATTAAGCAAAATTTATTGATCAATCAATTGTTTCCTTAATTGATGGCTATTATTCATATATAATTTGCGATAATTAGTTTTGAGGTGGTGATCAATTGATTTTATTAAGTTAAATTTATTGACTAATTATTTGTTTCTTCAATTGGTGGTTATCAATTAATTTCATCAACAAATCTATTGATCAACCAATTATTCTTTTCACTGAAAACCTTATTAAAAATTAGAATGTGAAAACTGTTAAAATTTAGGATGTGATATCTATTAAAGTTTGATTTAATTATTAATAATCGTGTTAAATATATCTTCAACTTATATTAATAAATTCAATTTAAATAATATTTTTATTGATGATTGAATGATATTTTCAGAGACAAATCAGTGATATTAGTATATTTAATACTATATACTTAACAATTCTATAAGAAATTATTGAATATCGATGTTGAAAATTATCCGTTAACTAAACGTCGAGTTATTCATTATACTAAAAATTATTTTTGTTACGAGATGTATTAATACTAATGGCCTTTTAATCTGAACAATTGATGTTATATTTGGAATAATTGATTGTCTCGATTGAAATAGGATGATATGTTGATTATTTATATCCTTAAAGATTAATAAGTGTGCCAAGAAAATAGACGGACATCCTTTCGAACGACACCCCTTTTATCCATTTCAGGAATACGCGATCTTTTCTCCCCTACTTCCTGTTTCTTTTCCTCTCGGTATATATTCTTTCTCCTTGAATTTTTTCTCCATATTTCTCTCTTGTTTTCTCTCTCTCTTTTTTTTCTTTTTTTATCTCTCTCGGAGATATCCGGATATAGTTAGTCGATAGTTGTAACTAGAAGAAGTAAGACATAGTCGACAGTTGTATCAAGTTAGACTACGACGTACTTGAAACTATTGAAACGTACATTCTTAGCAGTTGTTCTGAATTGGGACTCGAAAACGGAATAGAGTTCGAACCTCTAGTACATATAAAGAGGTTATATGTATACAAGTAGAATCTAGAGTGTATTGTTTGCTGTGTGAACTTAATACATTTATTGCTACTTGTTTTCTTCTTACTTTTATTCAATAAACCATTACGTTTCGGTGCTGTCCGAGCGGTTTACATCAATTCTCCTCACAAGACTTATATTCATCGATTAAAAGAAATAATATTTTCCGTTACCATAAGTGGTACTATTCATATCTTCAGAGACAAATCAGTGATATTATTTATATTTTCAAACACAAATAAGTGATATTATCCAGCTAAAAGTTCACTATCACGCACACGTACTAATATATCGACAATAACAATACGTTCGTGATCTGTAACTTTAAAATGTTACTATTTAAAATAAATTCGAGGTTCCATTTTTCTATATATTGTATTTGTATTTTTATTAGTTGTTACGCGAGAGTTTTTTCAATATTAGTTTTAAATTAGTTACAATTATAATTTTTCTTGTTATCGTGTAGTTTCTATATAAAATTTGAAATTTTTAATATACTGTTTTTCATTTCACTGTGTAGCTTTCATTATAATTATTGCTATATTTGTGCCTAATTTTTAAGTATCATATAATTGTTCTAACATTTGTGTTTCTGTAATGCAGAGCCCTGATGAGTGTTTTATTATTTCAATAAAATAAACATGAAACGCGTTGACGAAATTATACTCTGCATTTTCTTTTTATTATTTGATAAAGCACAAGACTTTGAACTTTGAAAACAACTACGACTGCATTGGTTGCTGAAAAGCAAGAGTAGAGACTAGCAGATTGATTTGAATCAGAGGGATATAGATCGGTCTGTTTTCTATTTGATTGAACAATGATACAAATCATAACAAAAGAAAACGAATTTGAACGTAGTACGAAGAAAATAGGAAAGTACATACTACTTTTTTTATATAATGATTAATGTGTTTGCAACATTTCAGTGAAAGAAAATAGTGATGCAGACGAGTTGTTGGTCTTCAAAATGACTACCACTATCAACAACATATTTTCAAAAATAGTAGTCTCCAAAATATTGAAATTAATGTATACATCTTCATAGCAATAACGAAAATTGAATGGTACTACATTGAAATTTGATGTATACAGTCATTAATTTGACTCGTATTCGTTAAAAATTGTCTAATGTCAGTCATCGACTAGAAATCTTAATAGCAAAAAAAAACGAAGTTTCCATTACTAATTATACACAGCCCGCTAAAACGGTAGCAACAAGTCTTAATTTGAATATTACCACAATAATTTCTCGCGATATGATATAACCTGCTTACATGCTAACTAGGTCGTATTTCAAGGGTGTGAGTGCGGTTCTTCTCAATATCTATAAAACCACTATACTCAACTTTCAAAGGGAATACAAGCAGAAAATACATTGTATGTGCCAATACGATCCTAATGAATAGTTGTCCACGAAAAGAACAAATTGTTACTTTATTCATTATTATTAGCCAACATATACTATTCGAATCCTTAACATATTTTTGGGTATATACGAGTCCAATTTTCATGAGAGTGGACAATTCCGAAGCAAACCATGAATGATATAAATTTCAATAGCGATAACATGTTTTACTAGCGTACTACCCTTCTACAGTGCCTGTCATAACACTATTACTGCTACAAAACATTCTAACAAATTCAGAAATTCTAAGCATTTCATCAGAAAATCTACAGGCTTCTAGCAAGCCTATCTAAATATCACTAAGAGGATAAGGCTCCAACCTCGCATAGACAATAGCAGTGACAAATACCGTTCTCTCTTCCTATATACCTTAAAAGTTAAAGGCATCACAATGACAAAATCCTAAAAAACTTACAAGTAATAATACTTCCGATAGCTCTAACAGTTCCCATGAAAAAATTTTTTGTAAAAGTTTGCGGTTCAACGCGTTTTTTTTCTGGTTCGCATGTTTTCGCTAGATCTTAAACGCAGTTTTTAAAACGCGTTGGAACGCGTTTTTTTCCACTATAAACGCAAATAAGCAGTTCGAAAGCGCGTTCATTACGGTACGTTTTATTGATATAAAACGCATTTTTTTCCTATAAAAGTCTTATTCTATCCCATTATCTATATTACTTATGTTATCATAGTTACATCATTTTATTGTATGTTTCTCAGTAACTTCTTTGCCAAAAGCTCTAAGGATTTCAAAAAAGATAAATTGTAGTCAGTACAGCATAAGTCGAAGTAAAGTTGATATACTGAAGTGCTCCATTACAGTCTAACAAACAGTTTAAGTATAAATCAAATAGAAGGAGCACTTGGGTGTCAACTTTACTTCGACTTATGCTGTACTGACTACGATTTATCTTTTCTGAAATCCTTAGAACTTTTGGCAAAGAAGTTACTGAGAGACATACAATAAAATGATGTAACTATGATAAGATAAGTACTATAGATAAGGGGATAGAACAGAGCTTTTATAGGAAAAAAAACGATAATATAAGCCTTCTTAAGTCTTAAAAGGTGAATCCGAGTAGTCGATAAAAATATGGTTGCAATAAGAAGAGAGATCTCAACGAAATTAAATAGTTTGAAGATGATTAACGGAGAGATAATCGGATATGTAGTTGTTGCTTTGCTTCAATGTGTGAGATTTCTATTCAAGCTATACGATGCGATATTTCTGACTATCGAGGTATATGATGTAATATTAGTAACTATAGGACTATACGATGCAATATTACTAATTACAAAACTATACTATGCGATGTTTCTAACTATAAGGCTATACGATGTGATATTTCTAACAACCAATGCACGTTGACATACGAAATACTTTCATTAGATAATTTTTCTACAAACGAATCTGAATTTTTTGGATGAAACTCGACGTTTCTAAAAGGCATGCGTTATATTATTTATCTCTATCAGCGCCACCTATGGGATAATTTTTTTGGTGATTATAAAGGAAAGGCTGAGATTTACTCAAAAGAACTTTTAATTTACAAGCAGAAAAAAATCAAAGATTTCCGTAAAAATATTTATTCCACGAAAATACTTCGTATGTCTTTGTTTTTCTCAGTCAACTCCATTGCATAACACTAAGCTCATCAATGAGACATTAAGCACATATTAAAAAACAAGAGAAACAGATAAAAATTCTTACAATACATCATTTTGATTCTAAAAAATATAGATGCTATGAAGAGATATAAAGAGACAAAATGAATGAAAGATCAGGTTTGCTATCGGTATTACTCACAAATTATGTCTGACGAGAAACGAAAGTCTGTGTATGTCAAATTGCAGCATTCTTCAAAGAATAGGTTATAGATATATTCGAACTGTTACTAAGAACAAAGCAACTAAGATTTTTCGACGACCAGTACAGAAAATTACTAAAGAAAAAAAAGAACTCAGCTAAACTTTGAACAGAGTACCGTGAAGACAATAAAAGTATATGCACTATTTTTTCTTCGTATAATCTCTTTTAAAGAATTGTGAATGTTAGAAAAAAATGATCTAATTATGATTCATTAGAAATTTTATGAAAAATTTTAAAAAGTATCACAGGATTAATCAATGAAGGAAACTAATTTAACAGAGTTATTACATCGGTATTATCTTACCCATGGAGTCAATAAATGAAAGAAATTTCAAGACTTTCGTGAATTTTATACCAAAAACACGAAAACAATGGCATTTCGAATGATGAAATTCTTTTGATTTTTCACCTTTCTGGGCATCTATAACTTTTCAACTTGCTCAACAAGTTTTTTCAGTCAAATTAAATTTGTTCTAATCAGCCTGTACTTGTTCTTTTTGTACAAAACTGTTTCTTTCTTTGGTGATATTCAAATAGATTCTACGGTACTATGACCATAATATTTAACTTCAGAATGAACCTATTTAAACCATATACCTTTGAGTGTAACATTGTAAAATGTTTGTCTAACTTGTAGCAAACTCTTGCTTCATGAAACGGTGTTTTTACTGTAAATATTAATCTAAATATCATTTAGCTCATTTGCGAAATAGCACGTTTTCTTCAGAAAAAATGCGTTAAAGAAAACAACGTTTCAACACGCTTGTAAAAACCTTGTTTTTCACAAAAAACACATTCAAAAACAAAGACGTTCTTGTACGTTTGTAAAAAAACTCATTTTCTTGGGAAAAGAATGCGTTGAGATGCATGAAAAATAAATGCATCCTAATGCATAAAAGCAAACGCGTTCAAACGATGTTATCAGGTAGCGTTTTTATTTCAAAAAACGCGTTGTAAATAAAAACAATGCGTTCAAACGCATCTCAAATAAAAAGGAATGCGTTCAAACGCGTTCTAAATACACACTAATGCGTTTAAACGCAAAAATAGCGTTTTCTTCAAAACAGTTAGCGTTCAAACGCTACTTTTTGCAATTTTTTTTCATGGGTTATAGATGATATCCCAGTAAATTCCTGAAAGACTTAGACGTACCTCTTATGATAGCCCTTGAAGTGTCACAAGTATCCCCTAGGATATCCTTCGAAGACTTACAAGTGGCATTTGTGGATGGTGCCAACTAGCAGTAATGCATGTGTTTGTCATTCATTAACGCTTTTGTGTTGCGCAGACAATTATATATAAGGAAATGTATTAAAGCATGATGATATCAACGTGGTTTCAAAGGCGAACTCTTTCGAAAGACCATTAGATTATTTTATGCGTGTCTGCTCAGATTTGGGTGCACCTTAATAGCTAAGGGCTGTTATGAGTAATTATTGTCTCATTTAATTAATTTTTTAATTTAATTATGATTTCCGTATCCGGGTAGATCGAATAGCATCGTTTTCGACACTTTCCTTAACTGTTTCATGCGGTTCGAAATCGTGGAAGAATGAAGTGAGTACAGTCTAAAATATATACTTAGCCCCTATTTACGATGAATTTTGTGAAAGAGGAACAGACTTTCAAGGATTGAAAACTATGACAAGTAATATTTTTCTGGAGTGTGGGTGTGAAAATCTGTATTAGTCTTCTCTTCACCTACATCCACATCCACATGTGTACATATGTATATACACTTTTTTCGATATTGTTGATAATAAAAATAGCACATGCATACTCGATAGACTATTCAGTTTTACTATTTCTTTACATCGTTTGCATTTCAATTGGATTTCAATTTTGTTCTCACTCTCTCATTTTGATTTGTCTTGATCAGACATACTATCTACATATAGAAGAAAAAAATTAATGATTAATGTTTCCATTTGTTCATGAAAATCAATTATCAAAAAGATTGCTTCTAATGCAATTGATCAACCTTCTGTTCAAGAAACAAGAAAGAAAAATTTGTCTCTTTGAAATTAATCGAGTGTATCGAATGGATCTAACGTTTCCTATGCTGACACAACAAGAGATACACTTATTCTCTCTTTGCCACATATAATCATCATGTTGTTCATTAATTATTGTAACATTGCTGACTAGTGCCTGTCACTGTAGAGCACAACGATGAAGATTACGTTCAATATATTTTATCTCAGTTTGATTGTGGCAACAATATAAGTAAGTTTTTCTTCTCCATTTACAAGAAAAAGAAAATAACTTATCTGATTAGAAGACCTTAATCTATGAGTTTGTCTGGCACCACCCAATTGATCAAATAATATTAATATACCTTTTTTTTCTCGCACAGGGTGTGGGTATGGATGAAAAGAAAATACGCATCCACGCTTCACAACAACACCGGAAACCTATTTTCTTGATAAATACTGATATTAATCTTGAACAAAGATACATCGATAATGTCTTTATGATCACCAATTTGTTAAGACATTAAATCCAAGACATACCAGAAAATGTCTATGAAAAAGCTCAAACATTCGAATTTCTTATAAAATTTAATCATGCATGAGTTTTCTTGACGTGATAGGAACAAACGATAATGATCAACTAACAACCTCCGTCTATCATAAGCCAACCGCAGAACATTATGTTCTGTCGTATGCATGAGACCATCCTCAACATGTACAACGTAACATTGCATACGCTGCGTTGTTATATGCTGCTCGTATCTGTTCAAATGTTCAGAATTTTGATATGAAATGTATTCGCATACATGGGTCATTATTATTGAACGATTACCCTCCAACCTTTATTACGAACAATTTTCATCGATTTTTCATTCAAAATGACACAAAGGTTGTACTAAAACAATTGGATACTGAGCGATATCGAATATTGCATCAAACCTCACTTCATCAACAGATACGATGCGAAAGACAACTCAAACATGCGATAATCAAACGATACAAATGCCAGAGATACTGCGCAAAAAAACAATCCATTGAATCCTAGCATCATCTATGCACCGCATTATTTTAGAGCGGACCTCAACTGCGCTTCGCAACACAATTCTACACGTGCTGAAAAATCCATTATCAAGATCAAGACTCTAAAATTGCTCATGTGAAAGTGAAATTTGCTACGAAGACTAATCGAACACTCCACGATTTCTTCATTCACAAAAAATCAAAGAAAACGATGCTGAACAGGATCGAACCAAATTGAGCGATGAAGAACTTTCCAACTCAATGTACTTCCACTAAAAACTTGTGAAATAGATACAGAAAAAAAACACTACACTCATTATTAATAAAAGGAAGCGTTCCAACCAAAACTGATGTTTCCGCAATTGTTTTTACTATTCTGATCACAGACATCCTTCTAGAGCATCAATAAATGTCTTTTCAGTAAAGACATACCATGATCTACATGACTAATCAAACATTACAGTACGGCATCAAACTCAAACTTGCAAACAGCAAAAACGATTGAATCGAAGAACAACTTTCAGAACAACAACCGAAGGATTCACGCCTAAAGATTACAAAAACCTAATAATAATAAAAACCAACATCATTCCAACACAATGCCAAAGCATCCAACAAGAAGTCGAAACGATCGTCGTGTAAGTATCTTGGAATTATCTATTTCTTACACCCCACCCACCCACCCCACCCTCAAGAACTTCTGTAACAGCTCGAAGTAAACATCTCTTTCGTTCACAAGAGAAGAATTATTTTAATATTCTGTATTCCTTCTTTATTTCAAAAGGTCTTGTTCCAATATACAAAAGGAAAAAAACCTAAGGTGCACTCGTTTTGCTTCCGATCCATGGAAGAAAATACTTAACACGAGTATAAACAGTAGGATATCCATCTAGAGCACATTCATGGCTATAACTAACAACACCGTTCAGATACCTAAAACAAAGCAGAAGAGACACATTTTGGTGAGACAGAAAAATGAAAGAAAGAGCTCATTTACCATTTTGTACTTAATTCGTACATCAATGGTCCTCCTGAATCACCTTGACATGAACCCTTTCCTCCACCGTCAATACCAACACACATTTGTTTTTCATTATTATAATTCACATGTGCCCAGACTCTTTCACAATTTCCTGGCATTGTATGCAATGCTGCTTGTTTCAAAACTAGACTTATTTGACCGTTAAATGATGTATGACCCCAACCAACTGAAGAAAATGGAGTTGAATATTTGTTTGCTTTGAAAAGGAAAGAGCGATAGTAATTACTTACCAACCCAAACTGTTTCATCCTTATTTTGTACTTCAGGACCTGGTAAACAGATAATATTGATCTTGTCTGAAATTGTCACTGGTCTTGAAAGACGAATAATAGCAATATCATTTTCGAGTGTCGCTTTATTGTACTGTTCATGGATAAAAATTCGTTCTGGAACAATCTCCTGTTCATCACTGGCTGGTTGATTGATATTATGCGAACCGGCATGGACCCTATAAGTTTGTGTAACAATTGGTATTGTAATACAGTGAGCCGCTGTTACAACATGTCTTGTATCAATTAGAGTTCCACCACAGATGTGATCACCATTTTCACTTATACGCACTAGCCATGGCTAGAAGAAAGACAGATGGAATGTGTAGTGAGTAGCTAGATTTTACTTTCTTCTCTTACCCATGAATTTCGCTGAGCCTCTGTTCCTCCTACAATACCTTGTCTCAATGGGTTATATTTTTGCTTACCACATTCCTGAGGAAAGGTAGTTGTAGCCTTTGCTGGACAACAGATACGAACTATCGCATCGAGCACCTCCGCTGCAACGTCTCCGCCACATTCTTCATTTGCTGTATATTGCAGTTCCATCTCAGAACCAGTTCTCACTATCCATTCGCTACACAATTTTCCATTAGTACGAATTGTAATTTGAATTTGACCATAGACACTAGTACCAAGAACGATGAGAAGTGTTGCGACTAATAGCATCGTTAAATGTTGTTATTGCAGCTTATGTCAGAACTAAATAATCGTCGAAACTAAAGCTACTTATATAGGCTGTTTGAAGGGTGTGTCATAAGTTTCTCTAAGAACAATAGACTTGGAAATATTCAATTACACTCTGTGCGATTGCGATGATTGTTATTATTGCGTTTTTCATTGATTTAATCCTTTTGTTTTTTTGAAATTCATATTTTTTGTGAAACGTAATTTAATTTCGTAAGAATACAGTGAAAAGAGGAGGGTCACTGGCTGCATCATGTGAGTCTCAAAATAATAATGAAAACTCTCTTTTCTCTAAATGAAAGAGTGCCCAGATCAGACAAGATAATTCTTCATTCTCGTTCGTCTTGCAGGTTTGTGTAAGGACAGTAATGCAGCACTCTTCTCCACGCCTACTTTTTAGTGAAACTAGAATTCACATTTCTTATACTCAATAGTCAAATCTCAGGACTTTTCGTTGCAATTTACCAGGTATAACTTTTTTTTTACACAAGTACTTTCTCCGTAGATCTTAACGTTTAAATTTCTTTAAATTATTTAAAGAAATTCAAATAATTTAAAAGAATTTAAATTACTTAAATAAAAGTAAACTATTTAAATAAAATAAAATTATTTAAATAAAATAAAATTATTTAAATAAATTCAAATTATTTAAATAAATTTAAACTATTTAAAGAAATTTAAATTAAATCTAAATCAGTTTAAATTAATTCATGTGTAATTTAAGTTAATTTAAATTCGTTTGGCTCTCTCTCGAAATAAAGCAACCATTTATCTCGAATGAATGCTATCAGACGTATGTTTATCAGTATTTTCGTACCATTACAAAACAGCAGCAATGGAGAACGACTCTTTTATACAGAGTCTTTTGTTCTGATGGTCGAATTCTAAAATATGATATCAATTTCTTTCCTTATTTCCTAGTTATTTCTTGTGTTTTTTGAAGTCATGTATTCTGACAATAGAGATGATCAATTCAAATTTAAAATAGTTATTACATTCAGAAATAAATTTTGAATTTATTCTGCATTAAAATTTAAACGTATCTTAAATTTAAATTGACAAGAATTGAAGTTTAAAATGAATTCAGAGAAAAATGCCATGCGTACCTAGTGTCGGTTACTCAAGCTGGTCTTGTTGAAGTCAGCTGAAAAACTTAGTAGTATATTATTATGGATCTGAAATTTTTCAATAAAATTTTTAAAATCCTAGGTCAATATGGAGACGTGATAGAAACATCGGAAAAGTGCACTACAGGACAGCTTACCGATTGATAGAACCCTGGTTTAATGCAACGAGCGTCAGGCCCAAGAAATTTGGTATACATGATGGAAGTTCGAGCTCAAAGAAGTAAGAATGAAATATTCAAATACGAAACGACAAACAAATATTATGCCGTCAGAAACTTTCAGGACTACGGCAATATATTACCGAAACACACTACAATTTCAAAAAACATACACTTACTTGTTAAGTTAGTTTGAATATTTTCTCGACGTTGTTTGTTGAGTGAGAATAAAGCAAAAGGCTCTCTCTATATATATCGCAAAATACATCTGATTTTTGAGTGTAAATGTCTATATTTGGATTGATCGAGCATAAAATATAGATCACATATTGCGCTTGTTTCATACAAATATTACATTCGTTTTGCTTGCTCTGTCTCACGTCGTTCACATAGATTAATCGACGGCGATGAAGAGTCAGATGAATGTTCGCCAGAATGTGTCCTATATCATATAATAACGATTTTCTATTTATAATCGTCGCACAGAATCGACAAAATATTAAAGTTTCACTGATGACCCTTTCGCGGTCAAATGTATAATCATCGTTAAGTCCTAATAATAAAAAAAATAGCAACAACAACAGAGAGAAGAAAAACAAAGAGAAAAAATCGAAAAAAATGGGAAAAATCAGTAATAACAAAAGTAACATATTATGCAGCATAGAGTAACATCTTTTAACACTAGTGTGTCTCATTATATTTTCAGGTATTTTATTCCTTCGTTAAATTTTATGAATTGATGCTTTTGAAGGATTTTGTCGTAATAAGAACATTTTTAAAAAACTGGAAAATTAATTTTTATTATAGCATTGAGTTTCTTTTATTCGTTTTATTCAACGTTCAAAACAAATAATGCAAAACAAATAGAAGTAGTTACAATCCGGTGAAAAAAAACTTCTAGAACTACTATCAATAGAATTAACAAATAGTTTATTTTAAAAGAATTGAGAAAAGAATTACACAAAGATTAATTTTTAATATTGTTAATCGGTTTTATCTGGATGATCAGATAAGTTTCAATTGCTTCCTAAAATAAACAATAATAAAAATAAGTGATGAGAATTATGCAATAATTTAAATGGTTACAAAGTGCTAGCATTATTTAATAACAGTTTTTGGAAAGAAAGTACCATATATAGATTAACATAATGTATTACCTTCAGAAATATATTTTTTTGTTTCATGATTCAAATATGAGAATAATTTTGTACAGCTAGATTTTAATGCTTGAACTATATCTTCACCAAATAAACCATAATGGAGATTGATTTGATTTTAAGAATGAGCTGCTAATAGAAAAAAATAATAAAAATAAATTCACATGTGATTTTGAGATTATGCAAGCATATTTGAACGAATTGTTCAAACTCAGCAATATTTCAGCGAGTTATTATAATCAATCAAAACGAAATACACTCTGGAACTTACCAATTGGTTATTGATAAAGCTAGATAAGGGTCGATGATTCTTTTGATTGACTCCATCTCTTAAATAATACATTGATGATGTACATACGTAATATCCATTTCAATTTTAACTGGACTATCATTATTATTTGTTGTATTAATTAAAATATAGATCCATTCGACTTGTTGACATAATTGCACTGAAGACTCGTGTGATTGTTGTTTTTCTAAAACCAAACATTCCTAAAAAGACAAAAAGATCAGAGAATATATGTAAAACAACAGTTTGATTTATACTCGATCAAATACTTGGTTAATCTTCTCGTATTTTAATTCTTGTTCTGACATTTAATGATCATATGATTGTTGTTTGTTTATGAATGCCTCAGAGAAATAATGGTATACTTGTCGATGACGAGAAAATTTTTGTCTTAATACTGATGCTAAAAATATCTAAACGAGAAAAAAAAATAAAGTAAAGATAAAACTGTATTCGATCTTATATTAAGCATACCATATGTTCAATGAATATTTTACTAAATGCTGCATTTCTTGTTGATGGCAACTATCATTCGATCGAATTCAAACGACTTTGGATAAAAATCAATCTCATAAGTATTGAATGCATTATGACGGATTAGTTTATAACTATAATTATTTATTTTATCATCGTACTCCAAAGTTTGCTGCTAATGAATCTCGAACAACTTTTTGAAAAACTTTATCAAACGTTGAAAGCATGTAATGTAATGAAAATCTTTTCTTGATTGAAATGTTGTTGAACTTGTTGAAGAATTATCTAATAGTTGACGGATCATTAGTCAAATGGTGCATCAGTAAGTTGTAAATCATTTGAACTCAATAATGATCCATCAGCGATTGAGTTGGTGTATATGGACTTAGTAGAGATATTTTAAGTTGGTGCTGCTATTCTCTGTAGTGGTGTACACTATTAATATTGAAAAATGATAAATTATTTGATTCATGGAAGTGCAATTATTGTTTGAAAGTATCAGATATTTTTTGTTTAATATCACAGCTCTACTAAAACAGAAAAGAAAACAAAGTTAATCAACTAAAGCAAATGAACAAATATTTACTTATTACTTGAAAAATTTTATTTTTCTTAAAATCTCCAGTTTTTTTTCGAATGTTCTTTCAATCTCAATGATTTATTTGTTAATAACATCACCATCCGTATTAGTCGATATTAACTCATCAATTGATAATGAACTTAGATATTATAATAATACACCATGAATTTCGTCTTCTGAAATGAATGAAAAATAGACTGAATATTAAAATAGTAAGTAATTCGCCGTTCCACTCTATATATTATTAATCTAAAATAAACTAGACAAATAGAAAAAATGAAAACGATATTTTTACTTGTTCTTATGTGTTCTATAACGAAATAATACGAAGGATTTCAAAACATGTTGAATAGATATATTAATATCAAGAAATTACAAAATATTACTCAGCAAGAGTTCACAGATAAGGCACACGAATGAAACACAAGTTCTTTATACGACATAAAAAACAAGTAATTATTAGAACAATGATTTTCTCGAAATAGAAATAGAATTTCGAATATTGTTTGAAATTACTGTTGATTTTTGATTTTCTAAAACGAATCTTTCCAAAAATCAAACATTTTCTAACTATTTCATATTCAATCAATAAATAAGGTAATTTTCAAAATCCTTTAGCATTTTTAAAGTCGATTTTCTTAAAAATAGCATTTATATAAAATTTACAGTGCATGATCTTTTGAGTAATCAATCGAAAAGATACTATTGATGGATAAATGAACATGAAGTCTTCTACTGTCGTCTGATATGTCCCTTTTCTTTGTCATAAACTTTCCTATTTCTACTCAAGATATATCTTTCAGATTGTTATTAGTTTAAACTTCTTATATGAATTCCATAAGTGATTGCATGAATCTTTCGATAACAATAAAAGATCATCATGTCTTCCTTCCACTTTCTTTAAAAAGGATATGTATTTTGACAAGTTCGAGTAAGTGATAAACAATACCAAATAGCCTAAAAAAACAGAATTAGTATTGAAAAATTCATATCATGCATATTTATTAGCATGATTAGCTAACTAGTAAACAAAAAATCTCTTCATAAATATGAATAAGTTAAATCCATACACTTATTTATGTAATTTTTTTAGACTGATGCATAATCATTTCCTATCTATTTTGAAGTACAAATACGTCAAGATTTAATTTTAACGAAACATCCATGTGAGCTTCTTTAAACTAATTGTTTACTTATATCATACTGTAATTTCATCTTTAGATATATTCGAAGTTTACGCAATCTTGATAATCAAAAAGACACTTATAGAAAGGAGACAACAGTCAAACTATAAACAACGACACAGCAACATTTATTCTTATACTATTTGTGCTTTATTAATACTTCCCAAAGAATTAACGACAATGCCACCCAGTTTTGTATTTGTAACATAAATCAATATCGGAAAAAATTCGACAAGAATATTTTATTCATTACATTACACACACGAACATATGTATACCTATAAATCACTGAGCATTATGTTATTAAAAAATCAACCTAAAATACTCTTTTATGTGAGTATATGATTTTACACTTTAAATATCTTCTTCAATGTTTTTTTTAAAATTTCGTCTAGCTTAGTATTAGCAAGAACTGTACCATTGTTGGTTAGCTTACATCAACGTCTTTAACACAACATAGACAACCTATATTCTGCCAAGGACAAAAATATAATTATTTTTCAATTTTTACTTTTTCTTTTTCCCTCTATCTCGTATAATTGTATATGACCTTGTATGTCATTGTATGAATAAAAAAAAGTAAACTATATTTGTCTAAACATATTATATTTCGTTGCTGTATTTTTTTTCATTTTGTGTTTATTTAAAAATGACCTCATTTTGTCATATTTAGAGAGTAGAAGATGGCAATGCAAAGAACAAAAATATTCTGGTGACATTTCTCAGTTTTAGAGAATAGATATGGTTAAACGCATTTTTTTTGAAAGCTCATTGTTTTCTGTAGTTAATAATAAGCTTCACAAATGGCCATGCACTCTAATACCAAAAATCGATTATAATAAAAATAGCTCAATATTCTTTTGCCCTTTAATATCATCAATATCCATGCACATGGAAAAAACACGTGCTGCATCATCACATGTTTTTTTCCTTTCTCATTCCTTATCTCACAAGCCATTTCTATTGTATATTTGATTGATGCAATTTACATTATTCTTGACAGTTTCAATGATCATCTATCTCATTATCTTATCATTTCAAACTATAATCAACAAAGAGAGAAATAATGTATGACTCAAGCACACAATCATTTATTGCTAAAAATAAGATGCTTGTTTCGTATCAAAGGTTGTCATATGAACGCCTACAGATATCTTTTTTTTCAATTAAAGGGTGAGCCAAAAGTCTTGGTCGTTCTCAGAAAAATTGCTCATTCTCCCTTATAGTAAATCCAAATTTGCTCAAAATTGGAGCGATAATCCCTTATCATACGGCGGATATTACTCTAAATTTTCAAATCTGTAGTCCTTATTATAAGAGAGATATATAGAAAATACGATGACGAAAAAAAAATTTTTTTTTCAAAAAATCGAAATAGTAAATTTTATTCGAAAATAACATCTAGAATAATTAATTTTCAATATTCATACAATAACGTTCAACGGGATTTTTCATTTTTTAATATCATGATAATCTTTTTTGGTGATTTGGAAACCTTTTTTTGTGATCAAACATTGCAATCTTCTCGGTATTGAATTAATCAAGTCGGAACACATCTTTGGAGTAATTGTTCTCCAAATCTTCACAATTTTTCTTTTCAATATCGATATATCCTGAATTTCTTCACGTTTCAGTTTCTCCTTGATGAAGCTCCAAATGTTTTCGATCGGCCATACATCAGCCATTTTATCCGATTGTTCTTCGGGATTGATACGATTATCAGAAATTTCATTTATTTTTGCCAAAGCATAATGAGATCGATGATTAGAATCTCCATCATCTTGCCATATCACATTGACATCACCGTATAATTGATCGATATGAATTTTCAGCTGTTTTACTAATTTAACATATAAAAATCTATCCATGGTAGGTTTCTTTTTATTAATTTTTTGACATTCTATTTTCAACCAGTCATCAATAAAAACTGATGCAGTTGGTGGAATTAAACCACGAGATGAAATTGCACCATACAATAAGACACCTGGACTGCATTTTTCTTGATGAACACTTTGTAATGCGAGTGGAATCGTTGTTTTACTTGTAGACCAAATGATGTTGTTTTTACTGTTGTGCTTCTGCAATAAACTGACACGACCACTAAAGTCGGTATTCACCAAGCGTTTCCACTTGGAATTTGATCTTGTTGGATTCAACCCGAATTTCTTTAATAACTTTTTTGCACTAATTACACGTGCTTCCCGTTGTATTGGGCTAAGTTTTTGTGAACGAGTTAGTTTCCAGGGTTTTAATTTAATATCTTCTTTTAATGTTCTTCGAACACTGCTGTAAGAAGAATTGACATGGTTTTTTTGTAACAAATCATTTGTTTTTCGAATTGATTGTCCTAATTTATTTTCCATGTGGTCTTTAACCAACGATATAAAAATAGATGTTCTGGTTGTTCTTGGTCTTCCTGTTCTTTTTCTTGCTTCAATAGTACCTCTTTTAATTGTATAATTTACATAACGAATAAGGGTTTGTCGTGTTTGTGATGGTGGGCAATCACTGTTCATTAATTCATTGGCAATATCACTTGACGACCAATTTTGATGTAATTCATGTAAAATTAAAATTTGTTTCCGAAGTTATTCATATTTTCGAGACATTAGTGTGTGGTGGAAATGATTGGATTAGAGATAAACGTCAAAATTGTAAGAAATCAGTTTTAAAATGATAAATTATTGAAAAAAGTTCGTTGAAAATGAATGATGATCATTAATTATATATAAATGTAAATCCAATCAGAATCAAACATAATTAAATATATGTACTACAGACACCTAGTTAGTCATCAAACGTGATTTGATTTGTGAAAACTGTGTCAATACTTTCTTATTCTACTTCCCATTTCCTCCTGTTTTCATATTAACATGTTCTATTTCGATTTTTTGAAAAAAGTTTTTTTTTCATCATCGTATTTTCTATATATCTCCCTTATAATAAGGGCTACAGATTTGAAAATTTAGGGTAATATCCGCCGTATGATAAGGGATTATCGCTCCAATTTTGAGCGAATTTGGATTTACTATAAGGGAGAATGAGCAATTTTTCTGAGAACGACCAAGACTTTTGGCTCACCCTTTAACTAAATTTTCTTCAATATTTCGGATCTTTTTTCACTATCTTATGCCATAAAAACATAGAATTTTTCATGGGATGAATTAAAAGAATTCGAGTCTTAAATATCCTTTGAAAACTGTTTGTTCAAAAGTATATTACATGATTATTGAGCTTGTATTCATCTGAAAATGGTTTAGCTGCAAATAATAAGGTAAATAATCATTTCTTCAATGAAAAATCATTCAATATCTTCTTGCATCATTAGATAAGGATCAACTGTTTCCTAGAATAAATAATGATAAAACTAAATGATGAAAATTATAGAATAATTTGAAAATAGTCACTAGATTACTTACATGATTTAATCACAGTTTTTTATAGTGTTTGTAACGTTTTATATTCAAATGGTCTAAAATGAAAAAGGATTGCTCTTCGAAAATGAAGAGAATAGTATACAAAGATTAATAAAATAGAATACCTTCTGTAATATTTTCTTTCTTTAATAGTTCAAATATTTAACTAATTTTGTAAAAGTAGATTTTAATGCTTGAATACTATCTTCACTAAATGAATCAGAATGAAGATTGATTACACGAATCATCTGTTGATGGAAAAAAAATAAAATAAGTGTATATGTGATATCGAGATTGTGCCAGCTTCTTCGAATGAATTCCTCAAGCTCAGCAATATTTTAATGATTTATTATTCGATTAAAAAAATACACTCTGTAAGAATGATCCAATTGGTCACTGATAAAGATGATTATAATCGAACGATCTCATTGTTTGATTTTATCTCTTGAACAAGACGTTGATGATGTACATAGGTAACAGTAAAATAAAGAAGGCCATCTGACATTTGTACTCTGGCTCAAAACAGTAGGGTCTCGCTCTTTGAGTTCTGAATTTAAATTGACCTAAAAAAAGTTAATTGTTTTATTGAATAGTTTTCTGTAAAAAAAAAAGATATCATAGAAAACCTACTCAATGAATATCATTTTATCGAACCTTTTAAAGGGTCTAGACTTTCAAATTAGAATTTGTTTGGCCAAAAATCTCAAAGAAAGAAAAGTTCTGATCGAAAAGTTTACGACCGTTAAAAGATTTTTAAAATAGTATCCATTGAAAAGATTCTCTCTGGTATGATTTTCTATTTTCTCTAAGTTAGTAACAAAAGGAACTTGATATTCAGTTTACGTTTTTTATATACTTCACCAGCTCTTTAGACCAGATAACAGTTGCTAAAACATTCATCAATTGAATCAATATAATAATGACTAAATACTGTATCTTTTTTTGCTTTATCTATTTCAGTTTGATAGAATATTTTCTTCAAATTATTTTGTCTATCACATACCCAAACTATGTTAAATACTAATGCTTGTAAATCATAGCGGGCAATCTTTCTTCAATCACCTACATAAGTATATGAAAATCAAATTTAATCTGCAGTAAAAGACAAACTTACTTGAATTAGCTTTCCCACAGTTCCATTAGGTTTTCTGTTTAGCAAATAAGTGTTGTTTTTCTCGACGTCGTTTGTTATTCGCCTGTACAAATTTCTAATCAGAAAGATGTTAAAACTATCTTTGTAGCGAGCGACATCTGATTGTAATATGAGTGTTTCTTTTGATGTTGTTTTCTTTAACATAAGGAGAAAAAAAAACTTACTAAACGAAAATAATCATAGCGAATATAAATGATTTCACATCGAACTGAACCGATTCCATCTCTGATACATAATATGTATTTTAACTTTAATTTGACCATAATCATAAGTTATTGTATTAATTAAAACGTGCATAGAATCGGCTTATTGACATAATTGCATCAAAGATTCTTCGGATTATTCTTTTTCTTCAACGAAATATTCCTAAAAGAATAAAAAAATAATTCAGAGAATACAATATGATAGCTTGACTTTTACTCGAATAAATGCAGAGTCAATCTTCAAAATTTCAACGTCAGTGTTGACATTCAATGCTCGTATGATTTTTATTTTTTACACCAATACTTTAGATGAATAAGTGAATACTTGTTGTTCTAATGGTCATGCTAAAAAACTCTAAATGAGAAAAAACTCGGTCTTCCATCCAACATATCATATCTTCACTAAATAGTATACCAAGTGCTAGATATTTATTTTTGACATTAACCATCATTTGATCGAATTCAAATACTGTTGAATAAAAATCGATACTAAAAATATAGACTACATCCTGATGAATTGTTTTAACTAATTGTTCTTTCTTTCTGCATCAGGCTCAAAAGTCTGTTGGTGATGCATCTTCAGCAATTTCTTCAAAAATTTTATCAAACCTTGATAGTACATAATTCAATGGAACCTTTTTTGATTGAGATGTTATTCAGCTTGTTGAAGAATTATTTGATGGTTGACGGGTCATTTTGTCAAGTGGTACATCAATTAGTTGTCAACAATTTGAATTGAATAAAGGCGATTGAATTGATGTATATGAAGTTGGTAGATATATTTTGAGTTCATGATGCTATTCAACATCGTATTTTACATTATCAATATTGAAATCATTGAAATATGATAAAATTACCCAACGAGAGTTAAACGATAAAATACACGAATGAAATATCAATTATTTATGCAATAACAATCCTCTACTTTGTGTGTTAAAACTTCATTCTTACCCAATGCAATATTAATATCCGATGCACTAACTTCATAGTACCACAATTTTTTTCTAATGTCAATACATCACAACAAATCAGTATTGCAGCAAAAGAATATCTTTTTAACTAAAAATTTAGATTAGTATCCGTCAAGTCATTCTTCTGTTGATCTCAAAAAAAACGATCATCAACAGACAAACAGACATGAATAAATGAAATCATGGGTGTTTAGACTGAGTAGTTATACTAATTTTTCACACTTTTGTTTATTTAAAGCATTTCTTAAGTTTTCATATTAAGAGGATACGAAAACTGAATGATTATTCATATGCAAATCTACTCTGTTATTTATTTCATTGAAATGATGTACTATAACAAGCGAAAACCGTTAAATTTAGAAATGAAAGATCTTTGCATCTGATTTTTAATGTAAATTATTTCATGGTATAAATCATATATTATGCGTCTAATGTCATACTCAATTATAATGGTTGATTCTCTAAAAGAGTTGTAAGGAAGATATCGTCATTGATACAATGTTTTTTTTTTCAAATCGAAAGTGATTGTCGATAATTTAGAAAATCAAGCATTTTCTGAATATTTAAAATTCGAAGAATGAATACCAAATGTTTGAAAATGTTTTAGCTGATTTAAAGTCGGTTTTCTACAAAATAAAATTGAAAATAAATTCACAGTGTACTTGTTGTTCTCGTAAATAATTGTCTATGCACGATTGTCTTTGGTAAAAACTGTCCTTGAGCACTGATCCTCGTATCCTCATTCTCAGCAGCTATTTTTTAATTAAATTAGTAGTGAAACGTGCAGTGGTGTATGAGTCGTCTATTAACCTTCATCTACTGTCAAATCTCTAACTAAAGAATTATATGGTGGGTTTATTAATAACCAAACTACGCTTTAAGAACTATTATTAGGGCTTTCACTTTTTGCTGCGAATGAAAAACAAAATAAGCCAATATGTCGAAAATGCAAAATCAAAGCAAAATTTCTTTCTCTTTTTTGTTTTTATATATGGTGAGATAGAGCATGACGAGCTGATTCAGAATATTGGTGTTTTCATGTTTTTAGAATGAGTTTTCAAGGGAAAAAACTCAGACTTTTATGTTGACCTGTTTTCCTTTGAAATATAGGAAATATTTTTTCTTTCGTTCAAATTCAGCGTTATATGTTAAATATAGAGAAGTCATTTATGAGGCTATTCAGACATAACATGGTCGTAACTCAGGTACCATAAGGATTGAGGGGCACGAATTGCGGGCAAGCATTTTGTAATGCAATATGATTTTATCTACAAAGAGATACAATTAGCTTTCATATCTCATTAGAATCGCTAGAGATTGTACTTTAAAAATATACCTTGGATTGTTCGAGATTTTATTCTGTTGCTGAGAAAACTCTTTTTTATTGCAACTCATGCCAAAACCGATCTTTTCTGGACATATACAGTGGCGCTCAAAATTATTCAGACAAACAATGAATAACGATCTAATTCCAAAATCTCTCCTCCAGTTCAAGATATTGATTTGTGATTTTCTCCAGAATGTGGCTAAGTACCCAAGTTGGCTATGCTAAAAATATGAAGCCGATAGAGCGTGTCTTGGTGATACGAGAATAAAAATACTAAGACCGTAAAACCTTGTTTTGACTCATAATTATTCATCCAGTTAATTTCTCATGGGAGAAAAGACTTGAGTTCTAATGATAGATAAGAAATGAAATCATTTTCGTCTACGAACTTCTCATTTCAATCGTTGTCCTTCAATTGAACACTACTAATCATAGTTTCTTCATTTTCTTCTCGTATATAGCAAACTTGAAAGTTGAATTTCCAATATTCAACTATTCGAGTTTTCAAATATTGAGCTTAGGTATTCATGTTTTCAACTCCACCACTGGAATCATAATCCAATTATTTCTGTACCGGTCGCAAGTCTGAAAAAAGGAGGAGCGTTAAACGGAAGGGGTGCAGATACCGCCGTTTGTAAAAAAATGAAAAGACGAAAGAAACCAACCATGAACGGTCAATTTCGGAAATCATACCGGCTCGGACGTCGCCCGGGTGAACAAGGTCCACGTCCTCTGTCGTAGAACCAGGACAGAGTCGAAAAGTTGGCTACTGGAACAACCGTTTCTTCAGAAACAACAACGGGAAACCACATATCAGCAACAACAACTCAGAGAACATCAACAGCACCAACGTTAACAACAAGTCGGAGAAAATCAGCACCAACAACAGCATACAAGCCAATCTCCATCAAACTAAAAATAGCAAAGGATGTCTTCACGATCGGTACATGGAATGTTCGAACATTATGGGCAACTGGTAAATTGGAACTACTAAGAAATGAAATGAAACGTTACAAATACGATATTATTGGCATTTCAGAAGTGCACTTGACAGGTAAAGGTGAAACAGCAAATGGTGATTTCATTTGGTCAGGTGAAAGTGACACACATATCAGAGGAGTGGGCATGTTACTCAGCACAAGAGCTCAAAAGGCACTTGTGGGCTACAATCCAATAAATTTAAGACTAATTACAGCAAGATTCATGGCAACACCATTCAACATAACAGTAGTCAATGTTTATGCTCCAACATCTGACGCCTCAAGAGAAGATATTGAAACATTCTACGACGACTTGGAAGGTACAATATTAAAAACTCCGAAAAAAGATATACTTATCATAACTGGTGATTGGAACGCAAAGGTGGGTGATGACAATGCACGCTGGGAGTGTGCAATGGGCAAATATGGCTATGGAAAACGAAATGAACGTGGTGAACAATTATTAGAATTCGCAACATCACACAACTTATTCATTTGCAACACAGCATTTCAACAAAAAGCAAGTCGAAAATGGACATGGGAATCACCAAATGGTTTACACAAGAACATGATTGATCTAATATTTATCCAAAAGCGCTGAAAAGCATCCGTCATCAACTGTAGGACATTTCAAGGAGCTGATATCAGGTCTGATCATTCCTTAGTTTTGTGCAACATAAAACTAAGATTGAAAAGTCTACTGAATAAACCAAAACACAACCGACGACCTAACATAAAGCAACTGAATGACTAAACAACACGACACTTATACCAAATCCAACTGGAAAATCATCTGAACAACATGGACACCAACTGCAATTTGGATGAACATGCTCTACAAATTGAACAAGCAATCAAAGAAGCATTACGAACAAACACAACAACTCAAAAAGTAATCAAGAAACATTGGATCTCTCTTCACACATTGAATTTAGCAGAAGAAAAACGAAAAGCAAAACAAACAAAAAATCTTTCGTCGATCGCCAATGAAAGATACAAAAACCTCTGCAACCAGGTGAAGAAATCAGCGACAATGGACAAAAACAACTGGATTCAAGAACAATGTGAAGCAATTTAAAAGGGACTGACGGTAGGGAACAGCAAGCAAGCATATCAACTGATGAATCTATTGACGAAGAAATATTTACCAAAATTGAACATCATGAAAAACCCCGATGGCTCATTATCACAAACAAGACAAGATATAATGCGAACTTGGACAACGTACTGTACCGAATTGTATCTAGATAAGGATGGCGATGATAACAAAATGATGGAAAAATTAGAAAACATAACCCCACTAGTCGACGACGATTCAACTAGCATTTTATATAGTGAAGTGGAAGAAGCAATAAAAAAGCTGAAGAAAAACAAGAGTCCAGGCAGCGACGGTATCACGGCCGAAATGCTTCAAGCTGGAGGAGAAAATCTGAGACGCAAAATGCATGAACTGTGCAATAGAGTATGGAATGAGGAAAGTATTCCTGATCAATGGGAGAGATCACTCTTAATACAAATCCCTAAGAAAGGAGACCTCAGTCAATGCTCAAATTACAGAACAATCTCTCTCATTAATCATACAGGGAAAGTTCTACTTATGGTGTTACTCAATAGACTGAAACATCATCTGGACCCATACATGTCAGAAGAACAGACTGGGTTCAGAAAGGACAGAAGTACAGTTCAGCAAATTTTGATGCTCAGACTTCTAGCAGAAAAAGCAAAACGCAATAGCAAGAAAACCTATAATTGTTTCATTGATTTTCAGAAAGCCTTTGACACAATCAAACACAAAATCATATGGGCAGTTCTTTGATCGTATGGTGTAAACAACAAGGTGGTAATATTATTACAAAAGATATATGGAAAGTCTCGATCATCAATTCGAATAGGAATGGACCTTGGTGAATGGTTTCAATCAAGCGTTGAAACCAGACAAGGAGACCCCTTGTCACCATTTCTGTTCATTGCCTATCTGGAAAGAATAATGGATCAAGCAACATCAAAAAATCATGGAATCAACGTCGGTGGAACAGTTATTAACAACCTAAGATTTGCTGATGACATTGATCTCCTACGTGGAAATCATATCTCACTACAGGATCAAATTGAACAACTCACAAAAGGGGCAGAAGAAGGTGGACTTATGGCGAACATTAAGAAAACAAAGACAATGGTGTTTGGTGATAAAAATATTGATCAACAAGTCAAAATCAACGGCGAAACAATAGAAAATGTAGAAGAATTCGAATATCTGGGGAGCTTGTTAACATGGGACAACAATTGCTCGAAAGAAATAAGAAGAAGAATCATCAAAGCAACTGGTGCAATGGCAGATATGAAGCATATGTGGAGCACTGGGGAAACTAACGATCGAAAGTAAGATAAAGCTTTTGACAACGTGCGTTTTCAGTGTACTACTCTATGCCTCGGAAACATGGACACTAAAAGAAACTGACAAACAAAAACTAGTGGCTTTTGAAATGCGGTGTTATCGAAGAATACTTCGAATCCATTGGACGGATATGGTGCGGAACGTCGATATACGAAAACAAATTGGTGCTCATGAAACAATAATAGATGTCATCAAAAAGCGGAAACTAAGACTTTTTGGACATATATGCAGGCTGGACAATAACAGGCTCCTGAAACACATCGTTTTCTCTCGAATAAATGGAAAATCAAGGAGAGGACGACCATGCAGGAAATGGCTAGATGATATCACTGATTGGTGTGGTCACAGTTGTCGAGATCTGGTTCACCTTGCGCAGAGCAGGTACCAATGGAAGAATCTCATCCGTACGGTGGTTGGCCCCAACGGGCATTAAGCCCATGGGACATCAAGATCAAGATTCATGTTTTCACGGAAACACATGCACGGGTACCTTAGTTGCTGACAGTGCCAGGAAAACACATGCATAACTTGTCACTTTTGGGATGCCGGAATAGTTGAATATTTGAATACTTGAGGGAATATTTCAATAAATGAAATCAACTTACAAGTTTGGCATATACGAGAAGAAAATGAAGAAACGATGATTATTAGCGTTCAATTAAAGGATAAAAATTAAAATGAGAATTTAGTATTTTTATTCTAGTATCATTAAGACATGCTCTATAGGCTTGATATTTTTAGCATAATTTCCTCAAAATGTTGTTATGAGTCAACACTTGTCTTTGTTATTTGGATCTACAAATATGCCGCACATGTGCGACCTAGTTTGCATACTTAGAGTGGCATTACTCAGCAAATAGACTTTGTCACCTAACTCTGAGGGATCAGTGGAAGACTCAGTTTTCTGTGCTGATTACTATTATATGTTTGTCTTGAGAACGAGAGTGGTGAAATTAGAGAAAGCAGTGAGGTATAGATCCAGAAAATGAGTTTTCTCAGCAGAAAAAAAGAATCTTAAAAAATCCAAGGTATATTTTTGAAGTACAATAACTGATGATTCGATCACTCCACTCTTGTGGTTCCTATATAACGATTATCTTTTATCTGAATAGTTTCATGGCTTTTATAGAGTGGAATTCTCATTTGAATCGGATATATCACTCTTCATCACAGGATAACCGACAATAGCTAATGCATCTTGAATATCTTGGTTCAAAAATTTGTAGATTTTTGAGCGAAAGTCCAGAAGATGCGATACTAAACTGACGAGGGAACATCCCCAACTGTCCCCTCGCTTTTGGATCGAGTATATGCCCAAATGATAGACCTCAGTGAGTTATTAAATACCCTACAAGGGTTTGGTTGTCCAGGCCTCCGGAGCAGAGATATACAGGGTTGAAAAAAATATTATCCAAGGGCGGTAACGCTTTAATTTCAAATAGAAGATATGATGAGTTTTATACCAAATGAAAGCCCGTGAAAAATGGGGTTTATTGATGCTAAATAGTAAGGGTTATGTAAACTTTTCAATATCGAACTTAAGAAACTTTCAGAAATTTTATACATTTTTGGAGGTGGAAAAGGAAGGTGCGAGTAATTCAAAAATGGAGTAAAATGTTTTTCTTGAATATTTTTATATGGTTCGATAGAGCTCGTCGAGCTCTACAAAGTTGTATATATTAAAAAGTTTTTAACTCATTTTTTTGTGACAAAAAACTGAAAAGACTATTTGGAAAATCTTAGAAAAACGTTAAAAAAACTGATATTTTTGATATGGAAGAAAAACACGATTTTTCAATAAAATTAGCTTTTTTTCATTATTTTTACTCCCTCAGGCGTTTGGAAATATACTCATTCGATGCAGCGTGAAAAACTGCACCGAATGAGTATACCCTCAAATATCGTACATAAGAATACTAATGGAAAACAACTGAATTTATTGTAAAAAAAAGACCACTTTTTTCCCCTATAAAAACTGTAAAAAATGCGGGTTTTTTGGTACCTTCTTTAGACAGTTTTCCATGAATTTCAACCCAAGAATTCTGTTTAAAAACTTTTTAATATATACAACTTTGTAGAGCTCGACGAGCTCTATCGAACCATATAAAAATATTCAAGAAAAACATTTTACTCCATTTTTGAATTACTCGCACCTTCCTTTTCCACCTCCAAAAATGTATAAAATTTCTGAAAGTTTCTTAAGTTCGATATTGAAAAGTTTACATAACCCTTACTATTTAGCATCAATAAACCCCATTTTTCACGGGCTTTCATTTGGTATAAAACTCATCATATCTTCTATTTGAAATTAAAGCGTTACCGCCCTTGGATAATATTTTTTTCAACCCTGTATATCTCTGCTCCGGAGGCCTGGACAACCAAACCCTTGTAGGGTATTTAATAACTCACTGAGGTCTATCATTTGGGCATATACTCGATCCAAAAGCGAGGGGACAGTTGGGGATGTTCACTCGTGAGCACTAATTCTTCTATAAATAATCGACGTTGATATCTTTTATTCCGATTTCATTGTGGGTTTTTTGCCTTCCATACAATTAGAGCATTTATAGCGGTAATGTCTATCATCCCATAAAAAATACAAAGCGGTCACTGCTTTGTGCCTCTTTTTACCTACAAAAAATAACATACAGGAAAAAAAGAACCTCTTTTTACCGTATATTTATGACACATTTGATCAACAGAGTCGACAGTCCCCTTTGTATTATTATAATCCATAATAATGATTGATTTTCCAGCTTTTACGTCCACCTGACTATCATGATGTTTCGAAGAAAGCAATACAACAGCTTTATTTGGTTTCGGCATAAATGAAACTAAGGTTAGACCATCTTTAAAACCAAAAAGAGAAGAACCAACTTCGCGATTTTTATTTGACTGAAATTCCATAGGGATTTTCGGCTTATTTTTTCGTAGTGTTCCTATAAGAGTGAAATTCTTCTTTTGAAGTTCTTTGGCTAATGAAACATTTGTAAAGAAACTATCAATTGTAACATTTCTGTTTGAACCATATAGTGGCTTAAGCAATTCTAAAACTACATTGGCACCTACGTGTTGTTGTCCTTCTTGATCCGGTTGTCGTCTAATGTAAGGAAAAGCATTAAATACATAATGTAATTCCACATCAACACATTACCAGATTTTTAAACCGTATTTATCAGGCTTTTTTGGAATAAATTGACGAAAAG